TCAGTGCGATGGGAGCAACCTAAAGCACGTCCCGTGGCCACCCCACCTCCCAGACATCCGCCGACATGATTTTTCCGATCCGCGGCCCCAAAGGTCCCGACCCCTTCCCCGGGACTGGTTTTTCATCCCGGATCAATTTTTGCTGGCCCTCGGGCCCCGGGTCCCAGACTCTCGCGGGTCGGACCCGCGAGAGGCTTCGGCCTCCGGGGCCCGTTATCGGGCCCGAGGGCCAGCAAAAATGGATCTGGGATGAAAAACCAGTCCCAGGGAAGGGGTCGGGACCTTCGGAGCCTCGAATAGGAAAAATCATGTCGGCGGATGTCTGGGAGGTGGGGTGGCCACGGGACGTGCTTTAAGTTGCTCCCATCGCACTGAAAGACCACATCCCAGAAGTAATGTCAAGCACCCAGAAAGGTATCGAAACAGTGTCGAACGGGTATCGCCTCCCAGGGCCAGACACGCGAAAGCCCTCAAGTGTCGGCACTTCCTTGGTGCTCGAAATCTTTTCTGGTGATCAGGGCTAAAATAGGTTGGAACATAACCCGAGGGACCAGAGTTACGTCGGGCCTGTCCCTCTACAGGGGGAATGTTCACAAATAGTCGAACAAAAAAAAGTCTGGGGACAATTGTTTTAGCATTTTGTGATTATTCCTGTGCATGGTTGGGGTATTTTTACTTGTTCGTCCAAAATCCGCCAGTGGGGATAGGCCCGACCCAAGACCAAAGGTTTTTGCCATGTTTCGGCCTCCGGGGGCCCCCGCATGACCCCGAGACCGTCAACTGAAAATGTCCGGATACAGATCGTTGGGAATCCACGTGGTTCAAAGTTCACGACGTCGGGTGTCTGGAACTCGCGGCAGCGCGAGGGTTTCCCAGTTTTGTCTGTCACGGCTTCCGGCCCCGGGAGGCCCGTTTCGGGCCCCATGGGGACGTCGGGTATCGACCTGAGGTGAGAGACACGACTGGCTTGGATGGATCTTGGGAGGGGTCCAGGGCCCGATGTTGAGCAGATTCTGGCGGCGCCGCGCTGCCGCGCGGACGGTCAGCGAAGCCATGCATCCACTAGGACGCGTGGGCACAACTCAACGGACGCGCCAAATGCACGCCTACGCGGGCGAGAGACACTCCAAATGCGTGGTTATGCAGTTGCGACGTGCCAAATGCACGCCAGGACGACGAAGGAAGGAGGAGGAGGGAGATGTTGATGCTGATGACCATGATGCTGCTGATGCTGATGCTGATGCTGATGATCATGATGATGATGATGATGATGATGATGATGATGATGAAGATGAAGATGAAGATGAAGATGAAGATGAAGATGAAGATGAAAATGAAGATGAAGATAAAGATGAAGATGAAAATGAAGATGACGATGAGGTGCATTACAAATATTGTGTATGCTCATACACTTTTGTATCACACACACACACACACTGCGTTAGTTCAAATGCTTATGTGGCCCACTGTTGGCGCGGTCGTGCTCTCCGGCGGCGGGCCCATGGTTGCGGTGTGCCACTGTTTTCGCAAAGTATTTGTTTGACCAGGGAATCGCCACCAAGGGAACCATCGCTGCTGCATGATCTCTCATGTCCTCCAGGTAAAAACTTGAGACAATGGACGCCTGCTTTGTTCTGGACGTGCACGTCCACGCCGCCGCGCGGAGACACTGCCAAAGTTCAGATGAGGAGGAGGGGGAGGAGGGGGAGGAGGAGGAGGAGGAGCAGGAGAAGGAGGAGGAGGAGGAACGCGGGCATATGCTACGCTTGGCTCCTCGTGCGCAGGCGAAGGCCAACGGCAGTGCCAGATCTCGTGCATCCACAGATTCTGCACGCACGTCGCGAGGCATTCGCCTCAAGGACACAGCCCGGCGGCAAAGCCGGCGGTCCTGCACAATCTTACTCTCTCCGCTTACCATGGCCTCGTCTTAGACGGTGGCCAACGGCCGTGCCAGCTGTCGTGCACCGCGGATGCTGCACACATGTCGCGAGGCCTTCGCCTCAAGGACACAGCCCGGCGGCAAGGCCGGCAGTCCTGCTCAATATCTTTTCGTCTGGCTACCATGGTTGTCTCCTATTATCGTCATTGCCAGTTTTCGTGCAATCGCAGATAATGCAGTATGTCGCGAGGCATTCGCCTCAAGGACACTGCCCGGCGGCAAGGCAGGCAGTCCTGCACAGTCTCACTCTTTGTGGTTACCTTGGCTTGTCTCCTATTCGTCGATGGCCAGAGTCAGGGCCAGCTTTCGTGCGTCCACAGATTATGAACGCACGTCGCGAGGCATTCGCCTCAAGGACACAGCCCGGCGTCAAGGCCGGCAGTCCTGCACATTTGCACTCTGCTGCCATGGTTCCTCCTATCAGACGTCGACCAGTTTCAGTTTCAGCTTACGTGCATCCACAGTTTATCTAAGCATGTCGCGAGGCATTCGCCTCAAGGACACAGCCCGGCGGCAACGCCGGCAGTCCTGCATAACCCCACGTTGTCCGGCTTGCATGGCTGACTCCTACCAACGTCATTGCCAGTTTTCGCGCAATCGCAGATAATGCAAGTATGTCGCGAGGCAGTGGCCTCAAGGACACATCCCGGCGGCAAGGCCGGCAGTCCTGCACAGTCTCACGCTTTGCAGCTACCATGGGTTGTCTTCTAGTCGACGATGGCCAGTGTCAAGGCCAGCTTTCGTGCGTCTACAGATTATGAACGCACGTCGCGAGGCATTCGCCTCAAGGACACAGCCTGGCGGCAAGGCCGGCAGTCCTGCACAATCGCACTCTGCTACCATGGTTATCTCCTATCAGAGGTTGGCCAGCTTCATTTGCAGCTTTCGTGCATCCACAGTGTAACTTTGCAAGCATGTCGCGAGGCATTTGCCTCAAGGACACAGTCTGGCGGCAAGGCCGACAGTCCTGCATAATATCATTCTGTCCGGCTAACATTGCTTATCTCCTGTTAGACGCTGGCCAGCGTCCGGGCCAGCTTTCGCGCATTCACAGATTACGCTCACGCCACGGGCTGGCAAGGGGATCCCCTAGACGCCAGGCCCACGGCGATATGCTAGTGGGGCCCTTCAGTCGTATAAACTCATTGCTTGAGCCACGCCTGAGCCAAGCTTGAGCAGCATCCCCCACCCCCAGTCCGAGGCGGGTGGTTGGATTAATCGATGTCTTTATCGTTACTCGGCTCGCAGGAGGTGCCACCGCTGCGCCCCTCGGCCCCGTCTCGGGAAGGCCTCTTGGGGAACCCCGAGGTGAGACGGTGTAAGGTCCCACGCTGCCCAGCTGGGCCATCCCCGTCCCCACCGCACGCCGAGGCGATGATGCGGGGCACAGGGAAACGGACAACTGAGGACCCCCCCAGGGAAACGGACAACTGGGGAACCGACTCGTCCTCAATGACTCGCCAAGCTCATCGTCCCCGAAACCCGAAGGGGTTTTGAAGGTCGGAGATGCCCCTCGCCGTGAGCCTTCTGGGGGTCGCACCCGATACGAAACTCTCGAAGTTCGTATCCTCCCAGTCTTGGGCAGAGGGCCTACGTGAGGCGCGCCGGCCTCAGCAGGTATGGTCCCAGGATGCGTTCTGGGCCAGCTTGTTCACTCCGCCGCATCGTCCATGCCAGCAGGAGGTGAGGAAAACATCGCCTCTCAGATGGTTATGCGGCCGCGGGTCGAATCGTATTCTTCGGCGCGCGATCCCCTTGCCTGCCGTCGCGTCGCGTTGTGCAACCGTAGAGGTACGCAGCTCAGAGGTGGCGTGAGGACACGTTGGCCACATATTATCTCAGCCACCTACTCCCTTGTTGCACCCTGCCGCACGCGCACGCACTGGCATACAGCGCTGTTTACTCTGAGTCTCATTACCTTGGCGTCTTCACTCCGCCGCATCGTCCATGCCGGCAGGAGGTGAGGTAACCATTGCCTCTCAGCTTGCTGTCGCGTCGCGTCGAGTAACCGTTGGGGTACGCAGCACAATGGTGGCGTGGGTTGACGTTGTCCACTTATTATATCAGCCACCTACTCCCTTGTTGCATCCCGCCGCACGCGCACGCACTGGCATTCAGCGCTGTATACTCTGAGCCTCATTACCTTGGCGGCCTTGCTCCGCCGCATCGTCCATGCAGTCAGGAGGTGTGGAATCCATCACCCCTCATTCACACTCACCTCCAGCGTGTGCTGATACGCTCCGATTGCTCTGGCGCACAAGCCGAGTAAGGACGAGCCACGGTCTTCACAACGGAGGTTGCCGATGAAAGGTATGCTACCTCTCATACCGTGTGCCTACCACGGTCCTTGTACTTGGGGGCACGGTAACAAGGGTGGGTGAGCCCCAGAGCCCCATCCGTCCTCACAGGGTTATGCCTACCCTCAAGGGCATCAGCAATACACTACAGTCCTCCTCCTCCTCCTCCTCCTCCTCCTCCTCCTCCTCCTCCTCCTCCCTCCTCCTCCTCCTCTTCCACCTCCTCCTCCTCCTCCTGGTTCTTTGGGCCTTTGGGTCGGCGGCCCTCGGACGCAGCCCCAGAAGCTGGCCAGGGTGGAACCCCGGCAGGGGCCCATAGCGAGCACACACACGGCCATGGACCCACTCCTCCTCCTCCTCCTGCCCCTTCCTCCTCCTCCTCCTCCTCCTCCTCCTCCTCCTCATCCTCCTCCTCCTCCTCCTCCTCCTCCCTCCCTCCCTCCCGGCACAAAAAGCAATTTTGGAATTCCGAGGCCATGTGGATACAACCTGATCCACAAAGTGCCAGAGCCAGGGCCGAAACCTCTCGGAAACAGGATCCGAGAAAGGAGCCCTGGGTGCCGACAAGCAGAGAACGGCGATCAGGACCTGGCGCGGGCGTCTCGCGCCTCTGCTTCCACATCGAGGTTTCTTGCGACCTGAACGGTCCAGTGCGCCATGAATTCGGCGGCACTGCAGCGCGAGTCGAAGTGGTCCACGCGGTGCGCGGAGCCCCTTTGCACATTGAAGTCCTCAGGGACTGGTCTGGAGCGGAGTTGGGTCAGGGCGCGCCGGCGACCCCAGGCGCAAGTGGCCCCAGAGTTGGCATCCATGGCGAGCAGCCTGCGCCATCGGAAGGCCGCGGTCGCTCTGGGTGGAACGGTCCGCGCGATGCCGGAGTGCAACGCTGGCGTCGTCACGCACCGGGAGGGCGCCACTGCCCTGTGGCTGGGTCGTCCGCGGAGCGCAGTCGGACCGGGGAACAAGATGGGGGTCGGCTCGGGGAGGGTACCTTGATGTTTTTCTTCGTCGGTTGGGTGCTCTTGTGCACCCCGGGGAGGGTAGCCTTAGGGGCCCATGTGTTTTGGCCAGCTGAGGGTCTCATTTTCTTGGAGGATGTTCTTCAGGCCTAGGTCCGACTGTAGCGTTGAGTCGGGCATGTCCCTCTACTGGAGGGATATCCAAGAATAGTCAAAAAATAATATGGGTACGATTCGTCGTGCTCCTTCCACTAAGTTTGAGCATTGTTTGATTATTGTTTGCATTTTCCTTCCAAAATCCACCTAAAGGGAGGACATGCCCGACCCAAACCTGGGTCTGACTGTAGCGCGAAGATAAGACGTCTGCTTGCTTGCATTCGTCGGGCCTCCCTGGGGCCCTGGCGTCAAGGAAAAATCGCCCGGATCCGAAAATGGGCGCTTGCTAACCCTGGGCGTTTACGAAACAGCCCTGCCTTGTTGGATTCCTTCGTGGGGCACGTTCACTAAACGACTTCGCGTGTCGGGGTGGTTATTATGGGGGTGATGTTTTGACCTCTATGGTTAAGTCGGGCCTGTCCCTCTACAGGGGGATATTCAAAAGTAGTGGAAAAATTGTCTGGGCACGGTTTGTGGAGCATTTGGGGATCGTTTTTGGGGTAGTTTTTTTATGCTTGACTTCTTTATTCATTCTCGGCGAGGGACATCGAGGAGTAGGAGGAGGAGGAGGACCATCGAGGAGCATCATTCGAAGGAGAAAAGGCGGGGGAGTTGTTTGACCTCTGTGGCGGGTCCACGGCCGGGCGCGGCTCGAAGAGCGGGGCAAAAAAGCTCGGGGACGGGAGCAGGGTTTCCGCGCTCTTTTGCCAGAGCCTTCGGGCCTGCCGCCGGTTAGCTCTGCCGCATCCCCGGCGTGTAGCGAGTTCTTCGAGCAGCGGATCGGCTGCAGAGCTGATATACAGGGAGGAGGAGGAGGAAGAGGAGGAGGAGGAGGAGGAGGAAGAGGGGGAGGAGGAGGCATCCTGCTTGCCTCCAGGGTGCCCTGGGTTTCGTGGGTTTCGATGGCTTTGCTATGGAGAGCGTGGCGTGCCCACACCGAGAGTCAGTGGACGCCCTGGGGTCTCAGGGTTGGGTTTCTTGCGGAAGGTTTCTTGCAGTCGGGCTCCCACTGCACCCCAGGATTGATCGTGTCCGTCGAATTTACGTGAGATGCGCGGGGTGTTCCGAGATTTGCGGAGCATCCAGCGCATTCTGCGTAGATGAGACGAAAATATAAATTTCGGGGCAAATCGATTCTGTAGCCGATCCCCTACTTGAGCTCTTGCGGTCTAATTTTCGCGAGGTCCATTTCGGCCTCAGTCCCATGGTGCTTCTGACGGCGCCGCCCAGTGAACTCGAGAGAGCCGCCCAGTGAACTCGAGAGAGCTCCCAGGTGTTTCGAAGTCTTAGGTCTCCCCGTAGGATGGGCCCCGGGGAGCGGTCCGGGCATCGAGTTTGAGCGCATTCGGGAGGAGGCCGCGCTGGGGGGCGGGCTTCTCGGGCGTGGCGCGAGGGCAGGCGACTCGAGATTCCGCTGCCTCGCCAGCTTACCGCCACGTTTTCCACGGGCGCAGCCCGAGACGGTCGAGGCGCGGCGAAGTCGGGAGCTGCGCAGGACAAAGACCGGGAGCCCGGGCGGGATGAGCAGGAGGATGAGGAGGAGGAGGAGGGGGAGGGGGAGGAGGAGGGATTTTTGACCCAGCCACATATCAACAAGAAGAGGTTCAAACCCACAGTTAATGTCAGCAGATCTCGGTGATCTTTCGCCCTGGAGGCTACGACGGCGTGTTGGTTTGCTGTTGCAGACAAGCCCCTGCCAGTTGCGGCAGCATTGCCGGTCACAGCTGAACGCGCGTTTCCATAATTGCACCCACGGGTTTCCATCACTGCAGACACGGGTTCCCATATTTGTTTTCATGAGTGCTCATAGTTGCGGCCTTGGGTTTCCATAATTATTCACGCTTCGCGTATCCCACCAGCCCGTACCGCGCCCTGGACGTTGTGCCCGCTCCCCCTTGGAGCAGGCAGAACGGAGCACTCTTGGGCGCCTCTTGGCCGTCTTCGGCCTTTTTGGGCCCCTCTTGGGCCTCTTTTGGGCTATTTTGACTCCTACGATTATTACTACCACGATTACTACTACTACTACTACTACTACTACTACTACTACTACTACTACTACTACTACTACTACTACTACTACTACTACTACTACTACTACTACTACTACTACTACTACTACTACTACTACTACTACTACTACTACTACTACTACTACTACTACTACTACTACTACTACTACTACTACTACTACTACTACTACTACTACTACTACTACTACTACTACGTATGCTGTTGCTTTTATGTGTACCTTTACTGTTACTTTTACTTGTACTTGTACTACTACTACTACTACTACTACTACTACTACTACTACTACTACTACTACTATTACTATTACTACTACTACTACTACTACAATTATTACTACTACTACTACTACTACTACGACTACGACTACGACTACGACTACTACTACTACTACTACTACTACTACTACTACTACTACTACTACTACTACTAGTAGTAGTAGTAGTAGTAGTAGTATAATGATGCTAATAGAAAAAATAGTGCAAGTTCTGGTTTTAGTAGTGCTCTATCGTAGGGATATCCGTGCCACTTAGCTTCAGTTTTACGAATGCATTATAGGAATAGTAAGAATCATACGGCTATTCCATGTAGATCATTTTTCACCACGCGGATCAAATCTTAATCTGACTGATTTCCAATTCCGGATGGCATTGAACTGCAGTACAAATTCATCTGTGATTCGGTGCGTGAGCAGGATCTGTAACCTGCTTCAGACAGGCGCGGTGAATGCCAAGGTGAGCACAAGCTCACCAGCACTGAAGCTGGCGGTGACCGGAACCCGGGCGCTCGAGGCAACAAACGTGAAGTGGTGACGTCACGCACCAAGGAAAAAAAAACCAGGCCGTGGCCAGGTCCGGGTAAGGTTTCTCAATGGGCTGGTGGGATATTTTTTGGGGCTCGCGGCTCCGAAGTGGCCGGCGGACACGGAGCGGAAGGCGTCGTCTAGGCCAGCAGGCGAGGTTAATTACTACAGCAGGCAGCTCAGCTGCAGTAAAAAATTGTAAAGAAAGCAAAGTGCTCATGCACAGTCGCCTTGTCGGCGCCAGTCCGTGCGGCCAACCTGTCCGTTAGACAGGTAGTACCGAAGAACCACAACCGTACGCGATGTCGGCTGAGACAGGGTTCGCAAATGAAAGGAAGGGACCCACAAAGCTTACTCCACGATCCACACACTAGTGGGGACACGCGAAGCGTCAAAAATTATAAGCATTTATGTATACACGCTTGAAACATGTGAGATGTACGCTCCTGGTCACGATTCCGGAAAAATGAATTTCTGTGAAGAATGTGGTGGGCGGAAGAGTATGGTATAGTAACCCCCATGCCTGTCGTATGCACAGTACGGAATATCAAATTTAATTCGAAACGCTGAATTTCGAAACCCTGAATCATTGATTCGGGAAACGCAGCGTTTGATTCATTATGCGTGGATGTTTTTCTGATTATGTTTGCGAAATGGTACAGTACGCATTGCCAATATCACGATTTGCGAAGCAAGATGACGACGGATGGGTACCAAATCTATATATATATATATATATAGAGAGAGAGAGAGAGAGAGAGCAAACACATAATTTTGAATACTGGGCCTCAAATCGCGAAATCGTCGGTGGCAACCGTTTCAGAAAAAAAGTTTACAGCAGTTTCAGAAAAAGGCCGGTTTCAGAAAAAGGGCGTGCCGTTTCAGAAAAAGGCTGAGCAGTTTCAGAAAAAGGGCGCGTTGTTTCAGAAAAAACGTGGCTGGTTTCAGAAAAAGTGCGCGCGGTTTTAGAAAAATGCCTCACCCCTGATTTGTTGCCCGGGCCCCTGGGCCTCGGCCCGACCTTGGATCGCGGGCCCTGGATTTTTGCACCCGGACCCCCGCCGTTTTTTTCTGAAACGGTCGTTGCCGCATGGCCGTGCTTTGCTTCGGGAGGAGCGCGGAGGAGGTTGGAGGAGGCAGGAGGACGACGGGGGAGTGAAGCGGGCGTGAGTGAGATTGGGAGGGTTGGATTCGGGAGAGGCACGGAAAGAGTTCGCCTCATCCGACTCCGGCTCTGGACTGTTGTCCGGCTCCGATTCCGATTCGGTCTTCCTCCGCTTCCCACTCCGATTCCGACTCCCGTTCCGGCCTCCTCTGGTTCCGACTCCGGCTCCGGCTCCAGATTTTCGTCCGGCTCCGACACCGATTCCCGTTCGGTCTTCCTCCACTTCCGACTCCGATTCCGACTCCCTTTCCGGCCTCCTCCGGCTCCGACTCCGGCTCCGGATGTTCGTCCGGCTCCGACACCGATTCCCGTTCGATCCTCCTCCACTTCCGACTCCGATTCCGACTCCCGTTCCGGCCTCCTCCGGCTCTGATTCCGGCTCCGGCTCCAGATTTTCGTCCGGCTCCGACTCCGATTCCCGTTCGGTCTTCTTCCATTTCCGATTCCGATTCCGACTCCCGTTCCGGCCTCCTCCGGCTCCGACTCCGGCTCCGGATGTTCATCCGGCCCCGACTCCGATTCCCGTTCGGTCCTCCTCCACTTCCGACTCCGATTCCGCCTCCCGCATTTCTCCTGGACCCAATTTTTCCCATCCTTCCAGCTTCATCATTCGACGGACTTTTCCATGTTCCATATTTATCCCAACTCCCGTAGCGCGCGCGTGCGCGCCCGCATGAGAGCGCGCGTCAGCCGCCGGCCACCTCCTTCTGCACCCCGAGCCGCAGCGGTTCCATCACCTCCATATCGGGCGTCATGAAGAATCCTATGTCGAGGTTGCCAAGGATGAAAGTGTATTGCGTCCTGGTCTGCATTAAGGGCACGTCCAGCAACTGAGCCACTTATTCGTAAATGGCAAGTGCGGGGGTGCCCCTAGGGACAAACAACGTTGTCAGCACATCTTTCCCGCTCTGGACGACCACCTCGATGTCGTCGTCGTCCTTGTCGATGGGGACCTCGTCGTCGTTGGGGACGCCCTCGCCCGCCAGGTCGAGTGAGTCCACGTTTTCGTACATCACCACTTCCAGCTCGCAGTCTGCGTCGATCGGGGTGTCCGTGTACTTGGACACCCCGGGTTTCGGTAACCAGAGCAGGGTTTCGGTAACCGGGTGAGGGCTTCGGCATCAGGGGAGAGGGTTTTGGCAACCTGGGGAAGGGTTTCGGCAACAGGGGAGAGGGTTTCGGCAACCTGGGCAAGGGTTTTGGCAACGGGGGGGAAGGTTCCGGTAACGGAAGGGAGGGTTTCGGTAACGGGGAGGAGGGTTTCGGCAACGAGGGGGGAGGGTTTCGGCAACGGGGGGGGAGGGTTTCGGTAACAGAGGGGGGGTTTTGGTAACAGGTACACAGGTACATTACACATAAGTACATATACATATATACATATACAGGCAAAACGAACCATGTAAGTCCGTTTCGGTAATCATCCGGTGGGCCCGCAGGAACCTCGACATCTTTACTTCGCTGAAGGTGTCCCAGTCCACCGCAAGCCTGAGGCGTCGCTCTCCATATATCCTACCCCCCATATCTTGTTTTTCTCAGGTGCCGACCTGGCAGAAACAGCATGGATCGTAATCGAACGGTATGTCGCTTTTCAACGACTTGCGGTTTCCCGAAGGCTGGAATCTTCGCTACGAGTTGCGACGAACACATTTGCACAATAGCCGCCCCTAAAATGAACGAAAACGACTAACAGTTCATTTCAGGCAGATGCCCTAGGTAGATCAATGAGAACATCGAAAGCCACATGATATTGCACGGCATTGATGGATATCTTGTCCAACGGAGCGGACCCAGGATAGTAAAATAGATAGCGCTTCGATTGGTCTGAACCTGGAAATGGCTGCGATTAAAACCGCAAAGACGAACGACGAGGAGGAGTATGAGGAAGAGGGGGACGAGAAGGAAGAAGAGGGGGAGCACAAGGAGGAGGGGGACGACATTGCCAGCCTGGCTCTATTTCATCTTTATTCCCGCGTCTGGAACGGGACATCCGCATACACCATCCGTTGTGTTGTCTTATCTCTTCTCACGTCTTCTTACATCCTCTTACTTTCTCCCACCTTTCTCATATTTCTTCCTACCTCTCCCCACTTCTTCCTACCTCCTCCTGCCTCCTACGTCCCTCATACTTCTACTCGTAACTCCCCGTACCCCTCCTAACTCCTACTACTTCCTCTTCGTACATCATCAAACATTATACGTTCTCGTATTTCATTGTTTTACTTAATTTCTCGTATATTATCATCCTTCCTCCTACCTTCTCGGACTTCCCCCTCAACCTCTTCCTACCTCTTCCTCCATCTTCGCACCTCCTTTTACCCCGCCATACCCCCTATCTCCTCCCACCTCCCCATACCTCTCCTTTCTTTCTACCTCCAATTAAGTCCTCGTATCTCCTCGTACAGACAACGTCTACGACGAGAAGACCAAACAAACATGCAATGGAAGATCCTGGAGTATTACAAACGTATGTGGATACATTCATGGAAAGCGGCCCATCATACATGGACCCGCCGATCGATTTACAAGACATGTGGGGGAGAGGTAAAAGAGCAGTGCAACTGGCAACTAATACGCTCCCGCATCGCCACAAGGAGGTTAACAAACCATGGATTACACAAGCCACAGTTGACCTTATAAATCGTCGCAGCGAGGCACGGGCAATGAATAACAAAGTGGAAGAGAAACGATTGTTGAAGGAAGTACGTAAGTCATGCAAGCAAGATAAGACAATATGGATCGATAAAGAGATGTCAAATGGTAGTTGGGACGCTCTCAAAAGACATTGCCGGCCCAAACCGCACCGCCAAGGAAGGCTAAGAAATATGAGTGGGGATTTGGTGGACAATACGCAAAGAGCTGAAACTATGGCAGAATACTTGGAGAAAGTGCAATGGAAGATACGGTCTGCGGAGCTGCTTGACGACGATCCAACAACTGACCCACTGCTAGTTTTGGAAACAGATTTTACGACGGACGAAGTGGGCAAAACAATACGTAAACTGAAATGGGGAAAAGCCTCTGGAATGGATGATATACCAGTAGAGTATTGGAAAGCAATCGCTACGGACCCTGGTGGGCTTGAGTGGATAACCAGTCTATGCAACAAATGCTGGAACGAGGAGGCGGTTCCTGAAGATTGGGAGGAATTTGTAATTTCTACGATTTACAAAAACAAAGGCGCCGTCGACAAGTGCGACAACTACCGTTCCATTAGGCTGCTTTGCGTTGCGTACAAGCTTATTGCAAGTCTTATATTACGGCGATTGCAAGATGCTGGAGCAGAAGACCGACTATCCACCACGCAATTCGGTTTCAGAAGGGGGCGTGGGACATCAAATGCTATACACGCTGTTCGCCGATACGTTGAATTAGCGTACGCTGATAAAAATGGGGCCACAGCTTTTGTGGCACTGGACTGGAAGAAAGCCTTCGATTCACTTAACGTTGGGGCTCGGCTGGAAGGTTTACGAAAATTTGGGGTGCCTCCGCGTGTTCTGAACATCATAGGGAACATCTACGGGCGCAGGCGATTTTACGTTGCAGATGGGCGCCATAAATCTTTAGAAAAACGACAATTATCCGGTATATCACAAGGGTACCCCCTTTCACTTTTCCTGTTCGTCATGATCACGACGATGATTGTTCAAGATGCCGCGCGCCACGCAGAGGCTGGAATACGACAAGCCCTAGAAGAAGAATCGCTGGCTATTTTGTTATATGCTGACGACACCTTGCTGGTGGGGCGCAATCAAATCCAATTGCAAGCACTATTGGAAGAAATTGCGAATGCCGGGGCAAGACTTGGTATGGAATTGCATTGGGATAAATTCCAGCTTATGCCGGTCCGCTGCGAGAACAACCTCCTGGGCCGTCTGGGACACCAACTATGGCTAAAAATTCTATGACATATTTGGGAGCTACGCTTTCGACCACTGGCCAGCTTCGCGGAGAATTGGGAAAGAGATTAGGTGCTGCTTGGGGCGAGTTTTGTCGACATAGCCGTGCCTGGAAGCGCACAGCCATTAGCACAGCTAGGAAGATCCAAATTTTTCAGGCCCTTGTGATCAGTAAGGTCATGTACTCATTGAATTCGGCATGGCTTAACAAAGCCGAGCGTAGAATGTTAGATGGCTTTCAAGCGAAGTGCTTGCGTCGCATATTGCACATACCCCACGCGTACATATCACGAATTTCTAATCAAGATGTGCTGTCGAGAGCCGGGCAGCAATCTTATACGACGCAGCTTTTGAAGCATCAACTTTTATGGTTTGGAAAAATAGGTAGGGCACCAAACTCGAATTTTTTGCGCCGCCTTACTTTTCGACCTAGCTGTGTCCGACCAGCCACGGACGCATGCGCCAGAGCTGTAGGCAGGCCAAGACATGAATGGGCGAAGTGTTTACATGACGCTATCGTGCCGCATTTTTCCACTGAGGACGCTGTAATGCAATGCGTTAGCGAGCCAATCGCTTGGCACAAATTTGTATTTGATTTCGTCTCCCTCCCTCCTCCTGCCCTTCCTCCGCCTCCCTCTCCCTCTCTTCCTCGCCCTCCTCCCCGGCCAGAAGCAAACGATGTGAATTTATAATTGTGTTGGCACGCCGCCGCTCCCGCAAAGCGGAGAGAACAGGCGCATTGTCTCGCCTTTTGCCCACGCGCTCCGGCGTATGGCTCGACTATACTATACTATCTCCTCGTATTTTCTCGTACTTCTCCCTCCCCTCCCTACTACCTCTTACTTGCTTCCATACTCTCTTCCCGTCTACCTCCTCCCACCTTTTTGTACATCCGCTTGCCGTTTGTTGCTCCTCTCCTTTTACGTGTTCCTACATCCTCTCTTCCTACCTCTTTTCTACTTCTTCTCATCTTCTACGACCTCCTATAAAATTCTACCTCTGCTGTACGTGTCCTCGCCTCACCCATGCTTGCAACCTCAACGTTTGGGCTCGGGCTTGCGGCAGAGAGTGCGCGGTTTCACCACCGGATGTGGGAAACTTGTATCATTGAGGAATTTCGTTATTATCAAGCGTGTCGTTTTTTTTTTTTGTTTTTTTTTTTTTTTTTTTTTTTTTTTTTTTTGTTATATATATATATATATATATATATATATATATATATATATTATATATATATATATATAAAAAAAAAAAAAACAGGTCGTCGCCAAGCCGGCCGACAATACGAGAGGAACGAGGAACAACACATTAAAATGTCTATGGCACAGATCTGGCACGGGAATATTTCATGGAATTGGCAAATCTTATTTCCTCATCGGTTTTTTTTTTTTTTTTTTTTTTTTTTTTTTTTTTTTTTTTTTTTTTTTTTTTTTTTTTTTTTTCATTGCGGCATTACCAAAAACGTGCAAGCAGAGACGTCACGGAGAGAAATTTTCCGCGTAATGCAATTAATTGAAACGCTGATATCTATGATTGAAAACATTCGGCTGGGCTGGTTATTCAAACCCATACTAAAAAATTGAATATAACTTTTGATAACAGAAACGTGGGTTCTGTCGAACGACATTCGACGAAGACGACAAGACAACGAGGAGGATAACGAAGACGACAAAGAAATTGCGGACGACAGAGACGACGAAAACGAGAACGAAAATGAGGGAGGGGGAAAAAAAAAAAGGAAGAGGATAAAAAGGAAGAAGACGATGACCATGACAATGGCGGCGGGGGCGGCAACGACGGCGGCAACGGCGGCGAAACCCTGGAACGAGGCGCCGAGAGGAAGCCCCAGGCTTACATTTCCCCAAAAGCATGGGAGGAGGCTCCGAGCTCAAACCTCCGCGGAAGCATGGGAAGAAACCCCGGACCGCGGGCCTCGGGAGAAACCTACCGAACTCATTTGCCGTGTTATTGAAAAGTTTTCCCAACGTTACCGAAAGCGTCTCCCCCGTTACCAAAATACTCTGTCCCCGTTACCGAAACCCTTCCCATTATTACCGAAACCCTTCCCGGTTTACGGGAACCTTCTCTAGGTTGCCGAAACGCCTTCTCCGGTTACCGAAATCCTGCCCAAGTTACCGAAACCTTGTCTCGGTTACCGAAACCAGTCGGGTTCCGTGTGCTGGGCTTTCCCGGCGCCATCCCCTGTGTCGACGTACGCCAACTCGAAACGCGTATGTGCCCTGAGCAGGCGCTTGCATTTCTCATCACGCCCGCGCGCGTTCGCGCGAACGCGCGCGGACGCGATAGAGAGACGCGTGAGTCCCCCGCGCGAGTTGGCAAACGTTTTCTCGGCCGTTAGGTATTCCGCCATTGCGTCGTAGATCACGCCCGCTGCGCAACCTCTCGAAACGCGCGTTGTCAGGAATGGCCACGGGGTCAAGGATCCCACGGCATCTCTTGCTCTCCCAGTTCACTGAGAACAGTCTTCTGATTCCCCGCATCTTCGATCGGCACCACTGTTGTTGGAGGCGGGGTCGCGTTTGTCCGGCCGCGGTGTTCCCCTGGCACCTACCTCCGTCGGCATGGTCGCGCCGTCCAGCGTGACCACCTATCCCCCCGCCTCCGCGTCCACGACCTCCGGCAACCCTGCGTGGAGCACCCGTCAACGACCGCACTGCTTGTGCGATCGCCGTGTCGTGTGTACGTTGAGTGTCCGCCGGGTATGCAAAGGGGCGTATGAATTTGAATATGATAAACAGTGGCACTGCCCCGGAAATTGCACGACTTTTTCTGAAACAAGAACCGTTCTTTCTGAAACGACATTTGTTTTTTTCCCACAAACGATCCCCGCTTTTTCTGAAATGTCAAACCTTTTTCCTGAAACGGTTATTGCGTTTTGTGAAACGGACTTTTTTTGAATTTACTGTGTTATTTTTTTAAAACGGCGGTCGCCCGCGAAATCGTATTGATATACGTTTTTCTATACGTTGTCATTTTGGATGTTGCATTTGGTTACGGCAACAGCCGTTTCAACGGAACCGAATTTCATATCATCATATCGTCAACATTTTTTTCTAATATTTTGATAACGGCGGTGGAACCTCCCAAAACATCGCAGAAGAGAAAATGGAAGAAAGCGATAAAAAACTAATTTCATTCAAGTTTTGCAAATATTTTGGGGCTCGTCGGGGAGCTCTTTGCCCAAAGAGGCAGTATCGGGGCTGTTGTTGACCCTCGGAATGATTTCAGGAGCCATCTCGAGCTATTTTACGCTAGTTATTTGAGAGCCCATTTTTGACGCGTTCTTCAAGCCATCTTGGGGTCAAAAGAGTCGTCGGACGGCTCGTAAAACCTTCCGTCCAGGTGGGATGAGAAGCGGGAAACCCGTCCCCAACGGGGAGAGGAAAGGATGGAAGAGGATCTGTTCTCCCACGGAACGTTGCTTGGATTTTCGCACGATCGGGCAAACGTCTACCGACAAACAAAATCAGATCCATGAGTCCTGGAGACGGGCTAATTGCGCAACCAGCATGTGATTTCCGCCCAGATGGCCCCAAGAATACTCCTACAACCATCACGGGTGTTTCACGATGGCCCGAAATCTTCGGTTCGCCTTTGATTTACTTTTGTTGTTGCTTCCTTCTCCTTTTTTTCCTCCCCATTTTTTTTTTTTTTTTTTTTTTTTGTTCAATTTGCTCCTTATCCACCTTCTCGTCCCTCTTCCTCTCGCTATCACATATCCTTTTACTCATTTTCCCCCTCCTGCCCTCCAGAAAAATATACAAAGAATAAAAACACAATCTTATTTGTATTTTTTCCGTTTCTATATATGGCCTCGCATACCTTTTTCGTTTAATCTCATTATTGCTTCTCCGTCCCCTCGATCTCCTGGCTGTGTCAAAAAAAAGTTCTTCCTGACACTATCTGTTTCATTATATTAACCCATATACGTTTTCACCAACGCACCGCCACAACATTGCAATTATGTATTTTCTCCCTTTACGTAAATATTTTGACATGTTGGTACGAAATCATCCTTGTCAAGCACAATCAATTTTTACGGTACGCGCGGATAAGAATAACCGGAACGCACGACATCTTCCGATTCGTACAAAATAGCAAATCAAAAAAAACATGAAAATTCAATAAAATCCGGAACGTGTGTAATGATGCAGCGCAAATTCACCCGTCAAAGCATTCACATACATACATATATATACACATGTGCACACACCGATACACATATAAAACATTCTCATACATATATATATATACATATATATACACATGTACACACACCGATACATATATATGTGTATATATATGTATATATATATATGTATGTATGTATGTATATATATATATATATGAAAGAGAGAGAGAAAGAGAGAGAGAGAGAGAGAGAGAGAGAAAGAGAGAGAGAAGGAGAACAAGAGAGAGGCATAGAGAGAGAGAAACAGAGAGAGGCAGAGAGAGAGAAAGAGAGAAAAAGAGAACACAACAAAACAAAAAACAATAAAGGATGCCATCGTCGAGCAGAAGCTGCAACCTTGGGACGACATCTAAAACTACCAAAACAAATGCGCTTGCCTGCGGACGCAGGCGCCTGGAATCACTTACCCAGCTTGAACGACACACCGCGCGAGATGCGATCCACTCTTCCCCGGAGCACAACACTGGGGCAGTCGGGCATCCCGCCCAGGGCTCGAAAAGACATCTCGGACGAGGCACCGGCCGAGCGGCCGCCTGATCATGCTGACGCTGATGCGGGCCCGGGGCCGCGCACGCCGCCCGATCACCAAAGGTTGGTTGGGGGCAGGCGTACTCCTCGAACCTCACGTGGGGCGTGGGGCCTGGGCGCTCCAACTCCGACTCGGCGTGCGACCCCAACCTGGCCAAGGAACAGACCAAGTTGGCGTGTTCTGACTCCGCAGAGGCGGCCTGCGACCTCTGGAAGGCGCATGAGATAGTGACGCCAGAGGCGCATCTGCACCCAGGAGAATCGAAGGCTTGCCCCTTGGTGGGCAGGAGGTGGCGGCTGGCCAGCTCAGACTCAAGCGAGCTGCTGGCAGGCGCGCGCCGGAAGCGTAGCGGGCCTGGCTGACCGCCCGCTTGCCCAGCTCCGCACCCGGGCGGCGGTCTCTGCGGGGGCCAAGGCTGGGTGCAGGACCGCGGCAGTCATGCTCTTGCAGCTTTACGACCCGATCTACACGGCCACGGGGCCCCTGGCGGCAACGTGGCTCTCCAGCGCCGCGAGACATCGAGGGCGCCTCGGTCGAGGGCATCCAGAGATGGCAGTGCCGCCGAGTGGTGGCCCACCTCCCTGAGAACCAAGGGGAGACGCTGTGGCCGAGCGCGGCATGGGCGATTGTGCAGCGTGCAAGCGCGGCCACAGAGAAGGGGGGCGTTCCAGGCGGTCCCTTGGCCGTTAGTTGTCTACGCAGAAGGCTCGGGCCGCGCCTCCAAGGCTCCCGAGGCCCGCAGGTGCGGCTGGGCAGTGGTGGCCCTCGGGCCCGACGGGTTCCCGCTGGAGGCTGCCTATGGCCTGCTCCCAAGGGCAGTGCAAACGGTGGGGCGAGCGGGGCGCTTTGCCTGCCTGGCTCCGCTACGGCAGCCCGGGGCGACAAACCTCATCATCAGCGACCTCCAATCACTCGCGACGGAGGGCAACTTCCGGAACCCAGAGGCGGCGTCGTCGCGTGGACGGCACGCTGACATCTGGAGGCAGCTGCATGCTGCAGCAGCAGCCCGTGCCATGCCCCCGCCGCGGTTCAGGTGGGCCCCCGCCGGCCGCATGCTGGAACAGGCGATTGAAGAGGGCATCGGGTCGCTGGATTGGCCGGACAACTGCTGGGCGGACTTCTTCGCCAACTTGGGGGCGGCGGAGATCGAGCTGCCCAACGACGCCGCCGGTCCATGCAGAGCTGCAGCGGGCGCTGGTCACGCCAAACTACATCGGCTGGGCTGCGGCCAAGATTTGTCAAGTCGACCCGTATAGGCCGCTGGGCGAGGATGGGAAGGAAGCTCAAGCGGAAGGTCGAGCCGAAGCTCTTTCCAGGCCAGCAGCTCAGCCTCACGCGCCACGAGTACCAGAAGGCGGGGGTAGACAGGGTCCAGTGCATCCACTGTGGGAGGGGGGCCTACGCGGACAAGACTCGGTCCCTCCTGGACTGCAGGCCGTGCCAGCCCACGCGCCTTGGCCAGATGCGAGCGGCAAAAAGCCAGAGCGTCCCTGGAGCGCAGTTGCTGGCGAGCTCAGAAGCGGTCAACCTGAGCATGCAGTTGGCGGGCTTGGTGGAGACGCAAGCGGGGCAGAAGCACCCTGCGACAGCGGCGGTGACGGGTCGGAAAGGCGAGACGGCGGGACGGACACCGTCGGAGGTTTCCGCTGAAAGAGAGGGGAAGGGAAAGACGGGGCGCGCACCGTCGGAGTCCCCGCAGAAGCCTACCCTGGGCGAGCCTAACCCTACTCCTTCATCCCACGTCGCCCGCCAGCTGGGGCCGGCGTCCTTGGGGGGGGAGGTGCAGCACCTCCTGGCAGCGGCCAAGGGGCCTGCGCTAGCCAAGGGCCCAGGCTCGGCGGGCAGGCCCCCGCGGGTGGCCGCTACTGTGCTCCCCATCTGGCCCGCTCCTCGGGGTTGGGGGCGAGTGGGGCAGGCGGAGCGGCTCCAGCGTCGTGCGCGGCAGCCTCCACTTCGGCGACCCCCCCGACCCCCCCAGCTGCGGGCAACAACAAGTTCGCCATGCAGGCGTGGGAAAGCTCGGGTGCCCTGGAAGACGTCCTCGCGCAGCTGGCGTCTTGGTGGATCACGGACTTGGAGGACCAGAGCCATGCGTATGCGTGCTGGCTGCAGGAATGCGTTGACTACGTGTGCAGGCTGCTCGGCGAACCTGCTTTCGGTGGGTTTTTCCACTACATCAGCGCGGACAGGCTGGATGCGCGAGGCCCACGTCGACCAAGCGCTGCAGCTGGAGGGCGAGGCGTTCAAGGTGCGGGTCCACCAGTTCCGTGGCTACTTGGTGGCGGGGCGGGCCTTCCTCTGCGACCGCGGCGATGCCTTTCACGTGGGGGTGAGCCGCCAGCGCTTGTACGCAGCCCAGGGGGTGGGCTCTATCGGGGTCCAAGCGACGGTCAAGGCGATGGTCGGGCAGGCGTGGCAACGCAAGGCCACCGTCCATGTCCGCCGCCGCCGCCATGTCCGCAGGATGGACCGCCGCCATGTCCGCGGGCTCCTCGGCTCCTCGGAGGTCCACCGGAGCGGAGCGGTACGTGGACCCAGTTGGGAGGTCGCGGCTCCCTGCGCGGCTGCGAATTGTGCAACAGTCGCCACGTTCGTGTGCTTTTGGGAGGTCTTGGGACCGCGCGGCTTTTTGCGTGGCTGCGAATTGCGCAATTGTTGCCACCTTCGTGGGCTCCTGGGAGGTCCAACGGAATGGAGTGGTACGCGGATTGAGTTGGGACCTCGCGGCTCCCTGTAACGCTGCGAATTTCGGTGCTTTCGCCATTTTCGTCGGTTCCTTGGAGGCCCAGCGGAATGGAGTGGTACGCGGACACAATTGGGGCCGCGCGGCTTTCCGCGTGGGTGTGAATTGCGCAGCTGTTGCAACTTTCGTGGGCTCCTCGGAGGTCCAGCTGAGTGGAGTGGAGCGCGGACCCAGGAAGGAGGTCGCAGCTCCCTGCGTGGCTGCAAATTGAGCAACAGTCGCCACTTTCGTGGGCTCCTGGGAGGTCCGGCGGAGTGGAGTGGTTCGCGGACCGAGTTGGGACCTCGCTGCCCCCTGCGTGGCTGCGGATTGCGCAACTGTCGCCGCGTGTGGGGTGGTACGCAGACTGAGTTGGGACCTCGCGGCTCCCTGCGTGGCTGCGAAGAGCAACTGTTGTCGCTTTTGTAGACTCCTGGTAGGTCCAGCGGAATGGAATGGTACGCGGACCCAGTTGGGATCTCGTCGCCCCCCGTGGTTGCGAATTGCGCGACTGTTGCCACTTTCGTGGGTACCCGGGGTCCATCGGAGTGGAGTGGGACGCGGTCCGAGTTGGGACCTCGCGGCTCCTTGCGTGGCTGCGAATTGCGCAACAGTCGCCGCGTTTGTGGGCTCCTGGAAGGTCCAGCGAAGTGGAGTGGTACGCGGACCTGGTTGGGACCTCGTAGCTCCCTGCGTGGCTGCGAATTGTGCAGCCGTCGTCATTTTCGTTGGTTCCTTGGAGGTTTTGGAGGTCCAGCGGAGTGGAGTGGTACGCTGATCGAGTTTGGACCCCGCGGCTCCCAGCGTGGCAGCACATTGTGCGACCGTAACCAGTTTCGTGGTTCTCCGGAGGTCCAGCGGAGTGGAGTGGTTCGCGGACCGAATTGGGGCCTCGCAGCTCCTCCCTGCGTGACTGCGAATTGCGCAGTAGTCGCCGCTTTCGTGGGCTCCTGGGAGACCCGCTTGCACGCGGACCGAGTTGGGACCTCGCAGCTCCCTGTGTGGCTGGGAATTTCGCAACTGTCGCCGCTTTCGTTGGCTCCTGGGGTGTCCAGCGGAATGGAGATGTTCGCGGGCCCCTTGAGGGGCTCCCTGGACCGCGGCAGCGCGGTCGGGGGGATTTCCTCGCCGAGCAGAAGGCGGCGGCCGGCGAGGCGCAGCAGAAAACGCGCCGACATGCGAATGTCTGCAGCCTGGCGCGCGCTGTCGGGGTTCGGCGGCGACTGGCCGAGATCGACGCGCAAGGGGGCCTGCGCGGCCGACGAGGCGCCCTAGGTCCTAGGGCATAGGAGGAGTCGAATCTCCTCGCGCCCTCGGTCAAGAAATGCGCGGCCTTCGTCGCGCTGCAGACCTGCGCCAACTTCGCGCGCATTGCTCGGGCGCGCGCGGGGCCCGGGCCGGAGGGGGAAGCAGACGACGCGGTCGCCGTCCCCGAATTTACCGGGAACCACGGATGCGAGGACGAAGGCGAGGGCGATGTGCGCGTCGAGGCAGCTGTGCTGCGCGCGCAGGCCGGCATGGCATCGCTGGGCTCGGACGTCCGAGTCGCCCACCATTGCAGCGCCGATCTGCCGCAGACAGTGCAGTCCTTCGCCGCGGCTGACCGGGCTGGGAGCTTTGTCGACGAACTCACGGAGGCAAAAGTCATGGAGAGCGGGGGCCATTCTCGGCCTCAGGGCCGCCGACGCGGAGCCGATCAGCGGGCGACGCGCGTCAAGGGGAACGCCCTGGCGCGCTGCGAGGCGCGGCTGGGGCCGGACGGCCCCGGTGCCTCCGCCGTGGCAGCGCGCGGTTGCCCCTCGGGCCCGCGAGGTCAAGCGGGCGAACAGGCTCCGCAGCGCCGCCTCGAGCCGCGGGCGTTTTTCGCACCGCGCGGGGCCCACCCCGTGAAGAGTCACTGTGGATCGGGCCGGGGGGAAAAGAATGCCGCGCTCTCTGCGGACGGACCTGGCCGCGTCTGTGGCAACTGTCGCGAGCTCCTGCAAACGCAGCGCGGGGCGACGAGAGGGGTGGGCGTCCTGCGGGGGCGCCGCCGCGCCTGTTGGGCGTTGCTCATGGGCCTGGGGGGGTCCGGCAATGCGGCGATCGCCCCGGAGATCGCGCGGCGCGTCATTCAGCTTCTGTTCGGGGTCTCCTCCGCGCGGATCGCCCGTGCAAGGTGGCCCCAGGCAGAGACCGTCTCCGCGCGGGCCCACGCGGCGCCCGCGTGCCGCGTGGCGGCGCATATCGAAGAGCACCGGAACAAAGGGATGATGCCTGGCGCCGATGCTCAGAGACCTTTCGAAAACACCTGGCTTGGCCTGGGACTGTTCGTGACTGAGGAGGTCAACGTAACGTCGCCGAACCTCTACATCGCGCTCCTGCATCGCGCTTTCCAGGCCAGAAGACGGCGGCGTAATTGGCAGGGGGCGAACTATCAGAAGCCATCGTGCGCTTTCGGCCGCGCCCCCGCTCATCTACCCGACAGATTTCCTGCAGCTGGACCCGCGGGGCCTGGGATATCGCCGCCGTCTGACCTGCGGCAGATGGCGGCCGCCGGTGGCCGAAGAAGAGCGCCGCCCGTCGAGCGCCGACAGGTCACGCAGCCCTTCTGCGACGCGCCGCGCTGCGCTTCGATCTGGGCCACCAACCGCGCCTGGCGGAGCTCGTGAACTTCGCGCGCCGCCCGAAGAGAGGCATGGCGCTGGTCGGCGTCGCGGAGGCACGCGGGCGCATCCAGCTGGAGGCGGACCGCCCGAGGCTCGCTGAGGAGCGGTTCCAGGCGAGGCATATGTTGGCATGGCTTTTGGGCGCAGTGGCTCGCTGGATGACGGTGCGCGCGAGGAGGGGCGCGCAGACTCTGCGGTTGGTCGTCGACCTCAACCCTGGCTGCCCGTGGACCTCGCCGCGAAACTCATGCGTTGAGTCAACCGAGGCATGACGTCAGCGTGGGCAGGATGCCGCCGCTGCACGTGGGCAAGCGAATCCACCTCTTGGAAGATCTGGGTCTGGAGCGGAAGCTGGTGGCAGACTCGGAGGGGTAGATCGCGCGCGTGGCCGTCCACCATCGCGCCGAAGATGAAGTGCAGCGGGCGAAAGCCGAAACCGCCCCGCGCGCCTGCGCGACTTGCCCTTCGGCGCATGGGCCCGCCTAGACAATTGCATGGGCGCGCCCTTCTGCGAGCGACTGGCGGGGCGTTCGGAAAGAGTTCGACTTCTTGGACATGGCGGCGCTATTCTTCATCGGGCCGCAAAAATCGAGCTCCACGAAATCGCGCGCGCGGGCCGCCCAAACTCCCGCGACTAGGTGCTGAAGTCGACGGCGTGCCATGGCCAGACCGTGCGCCAAGGCGTGATAGTCGACGACATGGGCGGCCTCTGGCTCCACCTGCGCATCAGGCTCTCGAGGCCGACGACATCGAACAACCTGCTTATGATGCGCGACCCAGGCCTCGAGTTCTTGTTCCGCGGGCCGCTGGCGGACCTGGCCGCGCGCCTCCAGACGTTTGACGCCCGCGCTGAAAGTTGCAGGAAGGCGGCAGCAGAGAGGCTGGCGCGCGAGCTTTGGTTGGAGCAGTTCCTGCCTGACCGAAGGGAAAAACTTGTTTGCAATGTCAGGCGAATTCGCGGCATTTCTCGCCGGCGCCTAGCTGCCGCGGGCGGCTGGGAGATGTGCGCCCGACGGCGAATACTGGCATTTTAAATGGCAAGGGGTCCCTTAACGCGCGGCGCCGTCCCATCGCCCAGCAATCGGCGCTGTCGCATCTAAGCTCGCAAAGAGCCGCTGCGCCACGCAGCGCGTGGCGCTGTGTTTTGTCCGCGTGGCCTCCCGTTCTAACTACCTTGACCCGCATTGCCACCCTGCGCGATTGCCTCGCTCAGCGCGACGTGGTGTATTGCTATAAAGCGCATGGCGCTGTTCTTTCCCGCGGAAGCAGCGTTCGGCGCTGTTGCTGTTACTGCACACGCATATCCCCAATTCATTTTCCATATTTTCTGTCTTCGACTGTTCGTGCCGATTTTGGGGGGCACATGCGCACTACGTGTCCTTGAAGAGGTTTGCTTGTAATGAACTGAGCGGTCCTGTGTGTATATATATGTATATATACATACGCGTGTATTCGCCATCTTGTTATAAAAAAGATTGGCATGTCACGGGGTAACTCATATCTTCCGACATTGAAGAGGTCCTCAGCAGGGGGTCGGGATCCCTCATTAAAGTTGGGAATACGTTTTTTTTGTTGTTGATGATTTTTTGAACAACAGAAATATCTCATAAAATCGTGGGAAGAGTCCGGCCAGCGTTTCCGTGAATCGAACAATCACCTTTGGCGGCACAGGGAGAGCGCTGGACTTCCCCTAATGGCCCACGAAAAGTGGCGACGGTGGCGCACTTGGCAGCATCCAGGCATGCGCGTTCGTGAATCGATCAGTCACACCACTTCGGCGGCGCAGGGAATAGTGGCCAACGAAGAGACGCGACGGTAGCGCAAGTGGTGGCAACATTCCGGCCGGCAGGAGGAGGCGAAAGGAGATATAGAGGGACGGGTGAGGGCAGAACAACATGCGGCGGCAACGCCCTGCCCAAGACGAGAGCCCCAACGAAGGAGGAGGGAAAAAGGAAAGAGGAGAGCAAAGGAGAAAGCGGAAAGAGGAGAAGAGAAGAGACGGGGAAAGATGACAGGGGAGGAGAAGGGGAAAGAGGAACAGAAGGAGGAGAGAGGAAGGCGAAAGAGGAGAGAAGAGGAAACAGGAGAGAGAAGGGAAGGGAGGCGGGAGGACGGAGACAACGATGATACATCCAAGACGAACGCCCAACGCAAGAGAGAATCTGGCCACGCTGGATACACCCGCCGCTGCCTACGCTGCACCGTCAGCTCTGTGGTGAACGTGTCGGTCGAAGGCATATTGAAGCGTGCGGGATGTCTCTCCTGACCTCTCTTTGCGTTGAGGCGGCTCTGCGGTGCGGTCTGACGGAACAAATCCCTGGAGGGCCAGGGGCCTTGGCCCAACCCCCATACACACAGAGTGTGTAGGCCAAGAAGGATTGGGGACACGGCGAGGATTATGTTGTTCCCATCGTAATCAAAGCCCACATCCCAGAAATGCTTTCGAGAACCCGCAAAAATGTGTCGAAGCAGTGTCGAGGCAGCGACGAACGGGTGTCTCCCAGGGCCCGACAAGCGAACACCCTACTGTTTCGGTACTCTTCGGGTACTCGAGATTCCTTCCTGGTGGTCCAGGCTAGAGCAGGTTGGAGCATCACAAGGCGAGGAGGGGGGGGGAGGAAAAGCGGGGTCGGGGGGAGGAGGGCGGAGGAGCACGGGAAGCGGGAGCAAGAACACCACCCGCTTGCCCCGCCCCCGTGCCGTGACACGGGTGCGCTCTCGAGGAGGAGCCGCGCAGGCGAGAGGTGGCTGTCTCGCGCGCGCGCGGTGCACTTCCTGCTGCTGCTCCTCCTCCTCCTCCTCCTCCTCACAACCACCACAACCACCAACATGACCACCAGCATCATCATCGTCACCATCATCATCGCCATCACCATCATCTTCATCAACAGCATCATATCATCACCACCATCACCACCAACAGCATCATATTCGTCATCTTCATCATTATCACCAACGACAAAATCATCCTCACTATCATTACCAACATCACCGTCACCATCACCATTATCGCCATCATCATCTTACTAAAAACAATCGTCGCCACATTCATCATCATGATCACGAACATCAACAACAAAACTCCTCATCGTCATCATCGTCATCATCACCATCATAACCGTCATCACCGTCATCATCACTACCATCACCGTAACCACCGTAATCACCATCATCGTCACCATCATCATCATCATCATCATCACCATCACCAACACCATCACCATCACCATCACCATCGTCATCGTCATCATCAGCATCATCATCATCATCACCACCACCACCATCACCATTATCATCATCATCATCATCATCATCATCATCATCATCATCATCGTCATCACAATCACCATTAGCATCACCACCACTACGAGCATCACCGTCACCATAACCATCACCATCAGCATCATCACCATCACCACCACCACCACCACCATCAGCATCAGCATCATCATCAGCATCAGCATAAACACCAACACCAACACCATCATCATTATCACCATCAACATCATCATCAACATCATCATCGTCGTCATCATCATCTGTAGCCATTTTGGCTCTAGCCTGGCTCGAAACCCTCCTGGCGGGCGTTGCGAGCATGGTGGCTGCGGGAGGCCCTCGGGCGCCCCCTGGGGCGGCTCCTGGAGCAGGGCCACTGGGTGGGCAGGCCTGGGCCCGACGCCCGGAGGGCCACGCTGGCGCGCAGGCTGCGCAGGGAGCGTGCCCAGGCGCGGGGCGGAGACACGGCAGCGGCTGCAGCCACTGCAGCTGTGGCGGAGCTGGCTCCCCCGCAGGCCCCGGCGGCGGCCCTGGAGGTTCGCCTCGTGTGCCTCGGCAAGGCGCTGCTGCTGCTGCACCACGGGGCTGACGTCGCACTTAGCTGCCACATGCATCGCCTGGGCGATGCGCTGCGCGCGGTGGCCACGACGCTGGACGTGGACATGGGCTTCGTGCACTGGGGCATGGAGATCAAGGGCGACGGCGACAAGGCGAGGCACGAGCTGCTCGTCGCTGCGGACATCACGGTGGAAGCCTGCGTCGCGGAGCCCGCGCTGGAGCTCAACGGCCATGGGGCTCTGGCTGGGAATGCGGCAGACGCCTGGGCTGCGCCGCGATGCGGCGCCCTCTCGCCCGCCTTCGTCCTGGACG